TACCGAAATTATGTCTATTGTTGATTTTCCTGATTTTGTTATATGGTGTTTTCTGCCATCATGTTTGGTATGGTATGGAATGGTGCACGGCACAGGCCAAGGTAATGGAGTTGCATATTTCTACGTTATGGCCTTGGTGGGATGCAAACGGTAATACATCCCCGACTCAAGAATCCCCTTCCTTGAGCCCAGCCTCTGTATTTTAGCTTCTGGACTAGATGAATTAAGATAAAGACCATGGACTGCTTAACATCATCTTGCCCTCGCGTGTTGCGCCTCTGAGCACTGATATAGCTCGGCATAAGAAGTCGCTGAGGAGTTGCAAGATGTTTTTCACGTCGGCAGTTTTTCGTTATGTGGTAACATGGCGGAAAATGAGGAGAGGATGTCAAGCAACCAAGTAGTATATTATGCCGTGGTCTCGCTTCTGCACCTCCGTAGATCTTCACGAAGGGTTACAAGGGCGAGGAAATGGAGCAGCGGGTTGGCTGCGAGGAGCAAATCGATCCGACAACAAACGGGTTCGTCCACCCGCGATGAGGAGAAGAGCGGGCAAACTCGCGGCACGTCATGCAAGAGTGTTACTCAGTGCCGTCATGGACTTTGACGTGCCAAGTTCATGTTAAGTTGGATCTGGTGACGTAGGTCGCAGGAAGACTGAGAGGAGAAATCATCAGAGTCTACGATCAATTGATGACCACGACATCGAGGCAAAAGAGATCGGAAGGTCTAGTTTCCCGTATCCGCTTGGACCCAAGGGATGGAATTGTCGCGAGACTCGTGGAGTCTTGGCGAGACTGGCTACAGTGGCGAACTGGTGGTGATGTCTGGTCATGTTGGCAATATTTAAATCCCTCGATTATTGCTCTGTACTACAAGTATTTTTCTACCTGATCTGATATGCTAGTTCGGATGCCAGTTAACTTTTTTTTTTTTTTTTTTTTTCCCTTTCTCTTTCTAGTCGATGGGGATAATTAGATGAATCTTCCCTTTGTTATCCGGATATTCTTCTCTCTCGGAAACCGAAGCCATGGATATAAATGAAGTATATACAAACTTATATTGGTGCCATACCATCCCGCCTGCAAGGCATAAAGTTGACCGCTGAATGCTTTTTTGGGTTTCCTTGAAAGTGCCGAGCAGAGTGAATCAGTTTAGATTGAGATAGCTCAATGGCCCCCCGATCATTTGCGAGAGAGCCAAGCATTCCCCTCTGCATGTGTTACCTCAGGCTCAGGACGGTCCAAGAAAAACAGGATCTACGGAATCCGAGAAACGGTCTGCGGCGGAGTGCAGCGTTACCCGCCCCTCCGATCCCCTATTTTGACGTTGATCGCTGGCATTCCCCGATTTAAAGGGTCCGTCGCGAGGCAGAATCGATGAATTGGGGAAGGGAAGGGGGAAATCATGGGGTATTTCAAATGGACCCAAGGCCCTAAAGGGTTCGAAAGAATAGAAAAGGAAAGCGGACAGATTCAAATAGGAGTCTCCTGCAGGTTCCGGCCTCATGGGCTCGTATGGTGGCAGCGACGAGGGTCCATACGAAGTAGGATTGGCTGGCTCCGCTTTCTCCTCAAGCTCCGTCGAGTCCAACTTTGGCTCATGTATTGTTTGATGCCAACGTACGTACGTGTACACTACGCTACACTCTCTAGTGTGGACCCGGAACGTCCAGTGATCGGGTTAGGAAGATGTTGGAGGAGCTTCGCTTTATTCATGAGACAAGTTTTGGCGCTAGAGTTCTCGGAGTGAGTTCGTTGTCTCGGTTTAGGGGGCCTCCTACTCAGTCAGGCTCGCGCCAAGCTGGGCTGTCGCTCCCGGCTCTGACAGACCTGTCTACAAAGGTATTAAACGGCCATGCTATTTGGTCAATATCCCTTCTTGTTCTAAGGGAAAGGAGAGGGGCGGAAAACTTGACGGTGCTCGTGCCTGTTTATCAGGCAGACCTGTTCTGATGTTCGCCGCCATCAGCCTCTTGCCAGCGAGCTGGATGACACGGGCTGGAAGTTCTTGTCGACATCAGCCATGTGGCAACTGGACCGGCACATCATAGTGCAAAGTAAACTACTTCGTACGAAGTAAACTATGAGAAAGGCTCGGAATCCGTGGCTCTCAAATGCTATTCTCGAACAAAGAGCTCCGAGCCAATCCCTTGGAGATGGCGAAGAATGAGCCGCAGCAGCTGATCAAAGGAGGGTAGCATCTCGGATCAAGTCCCCTCCTCCCATGTCCTATTTCTTTTTTCTGCGACATGTTTGAGAACCGGGATTCGCCGCCACGAGAAAGTGGCAGTGTTCTGTTTTGTGAGCGGGAATGACTGAGAGTCTCAAACACTCTGCTGCACTCAAATTTGATTTAGGGATTATTACATCCGGCATCATGCCCTCGCTCTCAGACTAAATGGGACGCAAGGACAGGCATGTGCTGTGCTGCATTTGATCGCTCGTGCTTCAGAAGAAAAGCTTAAACAAAGCACCTGGTCCATGCCTCTGGCTGAGTGCTAACGAACCTAAGTTTACTTCGTATGAAGTAGGGCATTCTCGTCCTCCATCCTCGATCGACGGCGAAGCACTTCGTAGTGTTGCGGAGCCAAGAGATTATAAGACATGAAATTCTCGTAATTGCCGGGCCCAAGACCGGAAGAACATGCAATTCTTATTTCTGCGCATTTCGTAATACCGTATTCTTTGCCAGGCTACTTCGTAGCATTGAATGATGTTAGACTGGACGCGAATTAAACCCAGTCGTATTCAACGAGCGCCCACCGGAAATCGTGGCAGTGCTGAAATATTCGGATCAATACGACCCCCTTCTCCGTCGTCATTGAAAAAGCCATGGACCAAACCCGGCGCCGTTACTGACCTATCCACGTCCTGTGGAAATAGTGATCAAGGGACAAGATCCACATCTTAATATTGACATCGTCCCCACACATCTCGCATCTCGCATCTCCAAAAGCGGTCGGGCCCCTCCTCTTCCCAAGCGCCGAGCATTGTGCTGCGACATCAACTGTCTGGAGATGCCCCGCCAGGTCTAGCGAATTCGCGAAACCTGTCGGCTGGCTGGTCGCCCGTCGATCTCTGAACAGCCGCCCGTTTCTGCCCGTTTCGATTTTCCTTGCTGCTCTTCAGCTCCTTTGTTTCCCTTTTTTATTTTTATTTTCACCATTGACGTCCCTTCCCTCACATTCTCTTGACTTCGTATGGTGCCATTAGCGAATAACCATCTGAGGTAGGTGCCGCCCGGGTTGGCCGGGTGGTCATCAGCTGTCGTCACGGGCTCAGCGGATGGCAACCATTGATTCGCCTGCGTCTCGGTCTGGCTAGTGTCGCTGTCCGGCCTAAGATTACGCAGCAGCCCGTTATCCTAACGGAAGACGTGGGGAGGGGACACACAGTGGGATACGGGGATACGGGGATACATCAATGGATACGGAAAATGTCACACTTCCATGCTCCCTTTTGGGGGTTATTGGACAGGCAGGTTGCTGTTATGATGATGGATGAGCGTCAATGTCGAGAAAGGTGACGACGGGCAGCTGGTATCCCGGTTAGCAGGCTACAAGACGAAACTCCTGAGTCCGTAAATCGATACATATTGATACTTTAATAGCACGCTGATTTACAAGCATCATAAGTATTTTTGGGTACTGTGAATGACGCGTGGGAGTTCAAATGTATATCCGTAGCATTATTTACCTTCCTTCCCCTGCGCCCCCTTCCAATTTTCTGCATTTGATTTTCTTCCTAACTTGGCTCTTGGCTCTTGGCTCATCTATGACCCGCCACTGGTCCAATTGTCCCTGCATCCAGCCATCGGAGCATTGGAGACGGTGCTTGTGTACTTTGACTCAAGCACTCACCCCCCCTAAATTATCGCATAACATACATCTTTTGATCAAATTGATCTTGATGCTCCGAGAGTTCCCCATACTGTACACCCAAGGACCGTCGTGTGCGAAGTGGAAAATAGTGTACACCGTTTGCCCTCAGAAGTCAAAGACTGTGCACTAAGAATGGTCTCCACGGGCCACAGTTCAGCAACCTCCCTAGACCGCAGGTGTACGAAGTACATATACCTTCGTTACCAAGTACGACGCAACCGGCAAAAGTAAACACCAGACTAGCCCTCGTATAACCTATACCTCGTACATGTGGATAAGTCCAATGTATACAAGTACATGTACCCTCCTTTCCACATTGTCTCCTGTTGCTGTTCCTGTTCCTGTTTTCCTTTCTTGCCCGTGTCCCAGTGAAAGTCGTTCTCATCCCCGTTTCCCTGATCTCAAAATCCACTCCCCGAAACCAACTTCCCTTCCCAAAACTTAATTCATCCACATCATCACCACACTCGTTCGTGTTTTCCCATTCTCGAAATCGTCCCTCCTGCGAATTCTTACCGCGATCCACGAGCACGTCGTCGACCGACTGATACGGAGGGCCTTTTCTTACCACATTCTCGACCTTCTTTTTTTTTTTCTCTTTTTTCCTTTTATTCCCTCCCGCCCTTTTTTCCCGCGAGTCATCGACCGCCCCCCCTCTAATCCAATCCCTAGCCGCTGTCATTCGTTTATCTCAGCCCCCTATCGAAATAGGAGTGGTTGAGAACCAGCAGCCTCCCCCGGCGATACTCGAAATCCCAATCCGAGCGTTCCTAAGCAAGAAGAGCGAGAATAAACGGTCGAACACCCGCCCTCACTAGACTTGTTCGATTTTGGGCGGCCGAGCTACCAACTCGCAAGGATCTCGAAGTTCCGCCAGCCCGTTCCCCCTCTGATTCATCGGCGAGGGTCTCGACAACAACGACATTCACGAACGCCGATTAGCGATATCCTACTATCCTAGTTGATGCCTCTTCGAGAAGGGAAATCAATATAAGAAAAAGAGAAAATAGAACCGCGATTTCCGTGCCTTGCATCGAATCTCCTCGTCTCGCCGCCCCATCCTCCCCCGATCACTCACCGAATCGAGTAATCGGCTCCTAAGCCATCTACCGCCAAGATGAGGTTATTAACACCACTACTATGCTTTGTCTCTTTCTTCGCTCCTCTGATCACGGCCGAGCCTATGCTCGTGTCGAGTTCGCTGAACCCATGCTCCGAAGCCTCCGGTTTCAGTGCCAGTCTGTTCCAGGTCGTCTTCACCCCCAACAATGGTACTGCTAGTATCGACATGGTTGCGACCATCACGGTCGAGGGCATGGTTGTCTTCGATATTTCCATCACCGCCTACGGATATGAGATCATGCGGAAGACGATCAATCCTTGCGAGACCGACCTCATTGGTCTTTGCCCCATGAAGCGTGGAAAGCTCGCCATTCCTCCCTTCAATTTGCAGATCGAGCAGAACGATGTCAAGCAGATTCCCGGCATCGCTTACACCATTCCCGACTTGGACGCCACCGTCAAGGTCTTCGTCAACAAGACTGACACCGGCGAGAGTGTTGCCTGTGTCCAGGCCGACGTTTCCAACGGAAAGACGGTCGACTTGCTCGGCGTCAAGTGGGCCACTGCCATCATTGCCGGTCTTGCTCTGAGCGCGTCTGCCGTTGTTTCTGGTCTTGGCCACTCGAACACCGCCGCTCACATCGCCGCCAACGCTCTTTCCCTTTTCAGCTACTTCCAGGCTCAGGCTATTCTCGGTCTTACCAGTGTTCATCTTCCTCCAATCGTCGCTGCTTGGGTCCAGAATTTCATGTGGTCTATGGGTATCATTCGAGTCGGCTTCATGCAGGACATCTTCACCTGGTACCAGCGTGCCACCGGCGGCAAACCCGCGACCATCTTTGATACTCTCACCACCATTTCCGTCCAAGTCCAGAAACGCTCCCTCGAGACCGCTGCCCATGCTGTCAACCTGTTCAAGCGTGCCGAGGCCATGCTTCCCCGCGCTATCCAGCCCAGGAATAACATCCAGACGAGCGACGGCCGTTTTGTTGTCTTTGGTATCCAGCGTGTCGCTTTCAGAGCCAAGATTGAAACTACTAACCTTTTCATGACGGGTCTTACTTTCTTCTGTCTCTTTGTCATCTTGACTGTTCTCAGCGTCCTCGCCTTCAAGGGCGCCTGCGAGCTTGCGGCCAAGAAGCAGTGGATGAAGAGCGACAAGTTCCTCGAGTTCCGGAACGGCTGGAAGACGGTGCTTAAGGGCATCCTCTTCCGAACTGCCCTTATCGGTTTCCCGCAGCTCACTATTCTCTGCCTCTGGGAGTTTACTCAGAACGACTCGCCTGCCGAGATCGTTCTAGCCGTCTTCTTCTTCTTTGGCGTCTGCATTACTTTGGGTTGGGCCTCTAGCAAGGTCATTCTCATTGCGCGTCAGTCCGTCACAACCCACCGCAACCCGGCCTACATCCTCTTCTCCAACCTCGAGGTTCTCAACAAGTGGGGTTTCCTCTACATCCAGTACCGTGCCTCGGCCTATTACTTCGTCGTACCCCTACTCGGATACTTGCTCATTAAGGGCATGTTCGTCGCCTTCGCCCAGCGCGCCAACATCGCTCAGGCGATTGCTTTCATTCTCATCGAGGCCGCCGCCCTGATCGCCTCCAGCGTTCTGCGACCCTGGATGGACAAGCGAACCAATTCGTTCAACATTGCCATCTGCGCCGTCAACTTCCTCAACGCCATCTTCCTCCTCATCTTCACCAACGTTTTCGGTGCTCCTCTTCTCGTCGTCGGTGTTGTCGGTGTTGTCCTCTTCATCCTCAACGCGGCCTTCTCCCTCATCCTTCTTCTCACGTTGATTGTTTCCACCACTCTCGTGTTCTTCCGCAAGAACCCCGATGCCAGGTATCAGTTCATGGCCGATGACCGTGCCTCGTTCATGAAGTCGCAGACTCAGTTGACCACCACCACCGAACTTGACGCTCTTGCGGCCACCGCCCGAGGAGACAAGCTTGGCTTCCAGTCGAAGCTAGACCTGGATGATGACAATGCCTCGCTCTCGTCGGCTTCCCTCCAGCGCCGCGCGAACAACATGGGCATGCAACCCGTTGGTTCTCAGTTCTCGCTTCACAATGAGAAGAGCAGTTATCCTCCTCCTCAGTCGCCCGTTAACCCGTCTCTACCTCTGTTCCCTGGCAGCAACCAGAGCCCACCAGGTATGATGAACAGGCCCCAGAGCCCATTCGCGGAGAGCTTCAGGAACAACAACAACGCCAGCCCTTCAGGATTTAGGAGACAGAACAATGCCAGGTATGTTGCAATAAGCTAACACTCCCTGGGGAAGCTTCGCCGATACTAACATTTATTTCTCTCTTATAGCCCTTGGCAACGTGGCGCTGGCTATGATTAAGCGCCATGCCTCGTTTCTCTTTTAATCCATATTAGATCTTTTATGTTTTTGGGTCTTGGTCTCTCAATTACCCCCATATTCATTTGTTTTCTGCCGTTTATAGCTCCGGGGCCCCAAGAATTCCTCTTTCTTGATATTCGCATAGGTGGGATCTGCTTCTCGAGCAGATTTCGAGTTGTTTGTCCAATGCGGGAAATAAAGGAGGACACGGCTATTCTTCACTACAGCGACACACACCTTCTTGCGCAGCCACTTCCATGCTCGATCTTGGGCACCAGATTCGTTCAGCCGAAGATGTCACAGCCAAGGCATCCACCCCACCTACCCTGTTACAGCAAAAAAACGGTGCATGACAACGGCGTCAAAGGGTCCGAAGGCGTTTATTCCCCCCATATATTCACGAACACTGTCATCTCACATTTCTTTGCTATGCCACATTTCCTTTCTCATCTTTTGTTATTTTTTCTTCATTTTCCTGTATACATTGTATATAACTTCCACACACACACACTCACACATACACGAATCACTATCCCATATGGTTCTCACGGCATCGGAGGCACGGGTCAGTTTTCCCGGGTAAGGGGAAGAAAGAGGAACAATTTTCGAGGGCGAAAATACCCCAGGAGCAACTACATATCAGCTGGTCTGGGGTGGGAAAAGATGAATATCAGATCAGATACCAGAAGAGATATAAAGAGGAGGAGGAGAGAGAGAATATGCTCGGATAGATTAGGCGAAACCTGCCCTTTTCTCCTTGACTATTTCTCCCTATGGGATTGGAATTTGTGCCTTGCCGTTCTGGGTAGCGGACGGTTTTTGGTTAGTTTGGGATGTTAATTAATGGTTATTTCAAGACCATTTCGTGAACACTTTTTATCTTGTGTTGTTCTCCGTGATTTGATACCAGTCACTGCAGGGCTTGAGACCCTTACTCCCTGCCTGTATGTTTTGAGCGGTGGTGAGATTTATCCTTGGCATCTAGACTTGACTTGGATGTGAAGACTTGAGCCCCGGATGAGTAAAATGGGAAGCAGAAGGTTTCAATGACTGACGACTTGCAGCCTAATACACCTCCGATACCCGGCGGAGATGCTTAGACTATGCTTAAGAGGCAAGGGGCTCGGGAGTGGTTTCACAGAATAATCCATTCAAACGCAAGGGAGATTGGCCTTCTTAACTAGATAGGTAGCAGCTTGATAGGCAGCAGCTTGAGCCACCAGACGGAGTGGTACTTGGAAACGAGAAAAAAAACATTCATAGATCGTGCGTCCATCATTCAAAATAGCTGCGCCGCGCATATCCCGAAACTACTAATATACCTATACAAAAATAGAAAAGTCCACATCGAGATCCGCCTCTGTCCTTTCTTATACATCAATTTTCCCACGCGGATACTGCCACCATCTCCTCCAGCTTCTTTTCTCACTCTCTCTGCGCTGCCAGATCCCGCGTCTCCGGAACTGTCTTTCGGACTCGGGAACAAGAGTCCTCCTCCTCCTTCCGCCCAGAACCTCCCCCTCGATAAGTTTAAGTTGATTATGGCGCTTGGTAATTCTGGCCGGTCATGTACGCACCAAAGGCTCGCTACGATGGGAGGAAAAAAAGGTTAGAATCAAGAGAGAAGGGGAGGGTCAAGTCAAGATAGGAGGGACAACTCACAGCATTGCGAGTTTGCATATACACGGTTCCAGGACCAGTAAACTTGCAAACGAGACCTTCGGCGGAAGCAATTCCTGAGATGATACCACCCGAGGCCACGCGTTCGAGTACGTATTTGGTATCCCAAGCGATGAGGTGGCCGTTGTCGACAATGTATTTTTCTCCCTCGGCGAGCTATCATAGCAAGCATTAGTTATATCAATAAGGAGAAGTGGTCTAAGGCAGGGATTAAAAAAGAAAAGAGAGAGCGGGGGAAAAAAAAAAGAAGAAAAAGCATACCGTCTTCTGGATGATAGCGCCAAAGCTAGTAATCCAAAGCAACCCCGTCCCGCTAACCTTGTACACCCAAAGGCCCTCACCCGAGAACATAGCCTTCGTGAGACCCTGGCGCTTATGGTCGCGGATGACGCCCTGAGTCGAGGCGAGGTAAGCATCCATGCCGACGGACCAGGTCTCCTTCCCGGTGAGGCGGATGGTGGTAATGTCGCCGAGCATGGAAGGGCCGAGGAGGACCTCGCCGGGACCGACGAAGGTGGAGTGGCCGAAATCGCCGCCGGCCATGAGCTTCTTCACGCTGAACTTTAGCGAACCGCGGAGGATGACGGAGTGGGACATGGCGATCATGGTGCCTTTTGGGGGGGGTTAAGGTTTGATGTTAGCCCAGATAAGTAGAGTTCTCTTGGAAGTAGCCTTTACACGACACACATACCGGGCTTTGCGTTGAAGGGACAGTTGATGGCCAACTGGACCGTCAAAATGGTGTTCGAATCCCGATGGCTAATCCTATAACTCCCCCCATTAAAAGTCCCCACATCGTCGACAACGGTTGACGCGCCGACAAACTGGACCGGCTGCGCTTCGACTTCCGCCTCTCGCTCTTCATACTGCGCCTTCTCGTCGGGCCACTGCTCGGCGGTGGGCGGTGGTGAAAACTGCTGCTGCTGCTGGTTCGCGGACGGCGCGGACTCGGGTGTCGCCGCCGTGCGGATCGGGAGGGACGAGTGTTCCGGTGACGCCGCTGCCGTGGTCGATGAGGCTGTCGAGGGAGGAGGAGGGTAATGCGTCGATTGGGTTCGAGCATGCTGGTTTGGAGATGGGGACTGGCCGGGTGGAGGGGGATATTGTATTTGGACGGTTGTGCTGGCTGCAGGTGGAGGAGGGAAGAATTGGGTCTTGTGCGCCGGGGCGGACATGGGCGGTGGAGGGTAGCTCTTTTGCTGGCCTGCGAGGGATGTGTAAGTATGCGGATGAATCGCGCGTTGTGTCCATCATCCATCACGACTACGAGGCAATGAGGTGTTTTGGGTTGGGGGGGGGGGGTTGGGGGGGCAATGCGGACCTGATGATGCCACGCCAGGCGGGGCTATTTCGAAAACAAAGCTCAGTTAGCCTTTGGAACCTTATAACTTCTAAGTCAATCTTGTGTGGATCCGGAAACTTACGGGGATAATAGTGAGCCGACATGATGAGGCTAGGAACAGAGCTCAGCAGCAGCAGCTCGTGACAGTAGCTCGCAGAGCTTTAACCCGGGCTAGAATCGGAGGAGCCGGGATGCGAAGCTCCGAAGGTACTCGAGAAGGTTCGATTAAGACGGAGAAGAGAGAATAAAGAAAAAAGAGGAACAGATACAGGGCAAACGGGAGAGAGAGATTGAGGCTGATCGGAATAAGGATAATGTGAGAGAGAACGAGGGAAAACGAGGGAGAGAGAGGGAAATCAAGATCGTAGGACAATAGATTCAATATGAATAAACGGACCCCGCAGCTAAGGTCGTACACAGCCTCCCCAATAGCTCCCGATGCAGGAAAAGGAACAGTTCAATGCAGTTCAATGCAGCTCTCTTCTTGGCCCCCAGGTGGATTTTCCCGGATGCGCAAGCCACGGCGGGATTCTAGAAATGTGACGGAGTACAAAAAAAGAAAAAGAACTGATGATGCAGGATTCGTGAGAAGACGAGAAATCGAGACAAGAAAGGATGGGGGAACAGAGTCTGTCTTCATTTTTCATCGCCTGCCCACGTACACCACCAGCCTGCTCTCGCGCCAAGCTGCAACTCTCCTTCTTCCTATCTCTTACTGGCCGCTGGTCTCGAACGTCTCGAACGTCTCGAGGGCTTGAATCAATTCGAGCCGCCCCCGCCGATATCACCTGCCTCTGAACTTGGGGCTAAAGCAACAGTGGTCGTCCCACCGGTTGGTGCCTCTCCGTCCCCACCGCTCGTGCCCGCTTCTAAATTGAGATGATTGACAGAATTGGCAAGCAAGCCAAACAAGTTCAAGCAAGGGGGTCTTTCGACTTGCGTTGCTTCTGTCCAATCGTTTGGCGCCGGTCGCAGTCCCAAAGAGCTTGGCGAAATTCGTGGGCGCCAACTCTGCTCATTGGCTGGATTTTATCCTTTCAACGACACCTTCGGACAGCGAGGAGATGGAGCAACATACGAGCTGAGGGTCCTGGGGATGGATTATCGAGAAGTGAGCGGGTCGAGATGATGTGGCCCGTCCATATCTGCATGTCCGCAGTTCGGGGGAAGCAGTAATAGCGGACCGTTGAATTGGCGCCGTGGATGCTATTTTTGGTCCTTGTAAAGTTGGACAGCTTTGATTTCTCGCTGAGCTGCCGTTTTACGCGCCGCGCTGATGGAGCAGAGCCAACTCCCGGAGCTTGGCAGAATCGATTTGATGATTGCTGCTCGCCACGTTTTATCCAGACAAGAGGGGAAAAAAAAAAGAGAAAGAAAAAACCGGTTCCAACTAGAGGCGCAAACAAAGGAAGTCTTGAATGTTTACAGAAGCTGGAAAGGCTGGGAGTATGGAGTACCTTGGGTGATTCCCAAAACTCTGGGAAGCGGCCTTACAGTCCGGGACAGCCCAACACTGACAGAAGATATGGTGCAAATTGTTCAATGTTCTCTTTTCCTCATGCTCCCAGCACTTGGTTGACCTGAATGATCCCCGTGTCACCGTCTCATATCAATCTACTTGGTCACTGAACCATTGCAGCTTTAGCATCCCCAATATCTAACAGCTATTCCAACCGCACCAAGAATTCCGAATTCTGAAACAACCTTATTCCTGTGGATTCAATCTCTCTGTGTTGATATGTGACCGTCGGCGTATATGGCCGACTCAGATGTCCCCGATAGATTCTGGAATTCACCAGTCGATGCAGCTAGCACCACATCGATGATGGTTCTGGATGCCGTTCTCCGTGGTCCCTAACCTCAAACTTCGTCCTATAGAGTAGCATTAAAGTTCATCATTTCCGCTGGGCCGAGGGGCCTTGACCTCACAAGTTGTAGGAGGAATCGTAAGTGGGATAATAACTTAGTTCTTTTGTGAGGAAGAGTTTCTATCCCGTAATATCTAATATCCACCCATTGATCTTCTTCCCGACGTTGGATAACGCAACCGGCCTCCCTCCCGAGAATCCAATATCGATGCTTCCTACATATCCTACCTTGATAGAGGCAAGTCCAGCGAAGACGAAAAGGCCCCTCGATCACGGCGGAGAAGGCTTTTCTGTTTTCCTGCGCCCTGAGACTCCGAGCCTAGTCAAGTTTCTTTTGAAATCGCTAGCACCTCTGGATAAGGTTTCCGTTCGCTGAGTCTGCCTCGAGAGCCCCTAGGGGTGGATCGATGAATAAGTAAATGGGGAGACGAAGCATGTGAAGCCACAGAGGGAATGATGGATAGGGTGAAAAATTCTCGCCCGCTTGCTCGAGTGTAGGCCATCCGATCATCGGTTCTTGCGAAAGCAACGTGGAAGTCTTTGGGTGCGGCTTGACGGTACTGCACGTCTTCTCGTGTACTCTCTTGAAGAGCATCAACGACTTCGCAGGGATGCTTCGGAACCATGAAGCGACTAGAGGGCCACACACCTAAACCTCAGCCATTCGTCAGGCCTACGTGCTGTTCATCGCGGCCACTATCTGGAGAGAGATAGAAGGGTTGGGTGAAGGAGAGGAGGAGAGAGGACAAGGGAGGTTGGTATGAGCATCAATGGTATTACATACACCGCGTCTCTACTTCACCGAGCAACTCATATCAAGCTCATGTCCCTCAAGCATAAAAAGGATGTCTTCTCGATATTCGAATACTTCCATCGGGAGCAACTATTCTTGTTTCAGAGATAGAATGTGGCCATTTCAAGGGGACGATGGAATGGATCTCCATGCTCTTGTCAATGGGAGGAACTAGAGATAAGATTCTTATGCGGCCAAGTCTCCCTTGTGGTCCTACCGGCCCTGGAAAGAAATATGCGTTCTGCTCAGAAATCATTCGTTCTAGCAACATTTCCCATTCCGACTCAAGTCTCTCGGGGAACCGGATATCAGGCGAGCATTGTCTCGTTAGGGAGATCTATTGTCGGAGCAGGTGGGAAACTTAACATCAGTGTCCGATTCCCTCAGAGGAATTCGTAGGATTTAGAGGCTCGCCCAGTACAACAAGACGTCTGGGAAAGCAGAATATGCTGTCAAGTAGAAGATCCCCAACATTAAAGAGCAGGAGAACTCTTGCTGCATGAGCTCGATGGAAAGTGGAAAGTGTCGGCGGTAATTTCACAAGAAGGTAAGTTTGAAAGTTGCCTCGCCCAGGACCTTAATCCTATAGATGCAAACTTTCCATCAGCTGGGAACCCGCGCGGATAGAACTGTTACTGAGACTGACGGGCATCCTGCTCAAATCATGGCTCAGGCCGGCGTTTTGAGGCAGCGGTGAAGCCGTCTCCCACCACTTTTAAGTCAATGTCCCACAACCAAGATTGAAACATCCGGGGACGGAGCTGTAATGAGCCAGACAATTCATTACCGGGGGGCATGCTCGAAAATCATCATGCAAAAAGGGCCGGCTTACAAGTACGATCGGAAGCCTCGAGGAGCTGTGAATCCCGTCCTTCGAAATTTTGCCCACAAGGGCAGGGATACCATCCACGGCTGACTCTGCTCCGCGGCCTTAGGAGTAATGGCGGCATTCCTTTGAGTTTGTGATCATGATACACTGGAAAGCCCGGGTACCAGAACGAAGCAAGTGGATCTTTCCCGGGAAGCTATTCTCGCGAATTTTGCCCGCCCGGGTTTAGCTACCTTCTTGGGCCTCCATGAACTCCCACAATGAGCTCCTTGCAGTAGCGTAACCAAGCCTTAGTCCGCTCAAGAGTCTACTTGTATGAGTAACCAAAACACGGGGACCAGGTTAGACTGCTTCATGGATCGTTCAGCGCCAACAATCCGTCGGGCATCCCGTGCTCGATCTCGATAATCTAGGAACCGAGATGGGCACGACAAGGCTTAGGCGGCAAGAAAACCAAACCCTTGCATTGCAGGGTTCAAGGGAGAATTCTCCCCCCGAACATCCCGAGTCTCAGCAAACAGGAGAAGCCGTCAAATCTTGGCGAACAATGAAGGCTGACAAAAGTATTATCATGTCTAGGTCCTTGCTAGCGTGTCAGAGATTGATGCAGCTGCGGCCTCACAGACCTCGGACTATCTCTCACCGTTCAGCTCACCGTGGCAGAAAAAGGTTTAGATCGCATCACATGGAGAGAGAAAGTACGAGTTCTCAGTCTTCTTTTCCCACCTCGGTCGAGAATCAGGGCTATGTTGCTGTGGATGCTAGTGGTTATGCGAGTTGTCGGAGATGGGAGGCTGTCCATCATGGTTCTGCATCGGAACGGAGTCGTGATCTCTTCTCTGTCGACCGAGTTCGGAAGGTACTTGTATAGATATCATTCCGGAGAGGGGTGAGTATTACGAGTTGCAAATGTATCTTCGTTCTCTCACTCTACTCAACTCAGTAATAGGCGGAATTTCCTCACGGACCGAGTGCCCGTCGAAAGCAAGGGTCTCCTGGCGCCTAGTCTAGGGGGTTGACGCGCCAGGTGTTGCGAGATGGAGTGTAGACAACAATCTCAAATCCGTCTCAAGGAGAGGACGGAAGTAACAAGGGAGGGGGAAAAAAGTGTCTGTAGAAAATGGAAGAGAAATGGTATTATTTTGTTTAATGCTCATCCTTCTTTTACCTGTGTAGAGTATTGTGTTATTATTTGGAGGTCGGAGAAGTTCGCATGAAGAGGCTTGCAGTATGAGCAAGATGGAAGGTCGTTGGAATTCCAGTCCGCGGGTTGGGAACAACGCTGATGGCTTGGGAATAAGGATCAATGATCAATTTCAGGACGATCCTTCTGCTAAGCAATGGTGCACCAGGCTGTTTCATAAGTCCATGCAAGAACTCCTGCCCCAAGCTTGAATGGACTTTTACGGATGACACCCACCATCCAGTTTTTTCGGATTACAGAGTTGAGGCGTCACTCGCCGGTAAAAGGGGAACGGGATCCATTGATCGGTCTCTGGATTTTTTTTTCCTCTCATTTCTCATCTTGGCCGGGGGGCTGGAGCGGGAGAAGCCGCTGAAGAAAGGAAGCTCTCAGAGAAGGTTCGAAACGGCATGGCTGTGTGACACAAATAT